GCCTGAGTTTTGCAAAAATTGTTACTCCTTTTACTGTTTTGCTTAAATATTGCACTAGGTCTATGGTATTTCTATTTATTATTATTATTATTATTATTATTGTTGTTATACAATCAAAAAAGATCAGTTTAAACCATGTGCATGATTTTGTGAGGGAATGGCACTCTTGTCTGCTGCAGAAAAGCAGAGATGTATTACACAGCACATCATAGTGCAAAACAAAATGACAACTCGGATTTAAATTAATAGTTTTATTAGCAATTTTCAGTATTTCACTGTTTACTGTGCTACACTGTAAAAAGGTGATTAGTTACTTAAAACGAGTAAACCAATTGCCTCAAAAGCAACAAGTTGACTTCACAAAGATAATGTAAGTAAACCCATTATAACTTGGAACTGTTAGTTGACTTAATTTTTATAACTATGGTAATTGTACTTTTTAAAAGTCAATTCTTTCCCTTTTACAGTGTCAGACTATTATAGCACATCTGTTTTCGAATAATTACTGTAATTATCACAATATTACATATTTGGTGCTTCATTAAGTCTGTTAAATCTACAATGATAGCCTGTTTACTGAATTTAGAAGACACACTGGAAGAGCAGATTTATTTTACTTTGTTTTTCTAGATACAAGTTTTTTACAAGATAAAAGTTGGGGAGGGGACAAATATACCTACAATAAAGGTGTATTGGAAAAAAGTGATTAGTTTACTTCAAGTGAGTGCAAATTGCATAGTTATAAAAATTAACTCAACAGTTGTAAGTTACAATGCGTTTACTTCCATTATTTTTGTAAAGTCAACTTGTTGATTTTAAAGCACTTGATTTACTTGCTTTAAGTATTGAATCACTTTTTACAGTGCATCTGTAGAAAATTTGTAAATGTTCCTCATATTTCATTTGTCTTTTTTGACAATTACTGTGATATCTTAGATGTGACATTAAAAAAGTTCTTTTGATTATTCAGTAAGCATAATTGTGTTATTGATGATGGAATAAGAGAGTGGCAAACAAGTTGCCTTAGTTCTAATTGTAATGTCCACCCTGTGACTCCTCTCCCCCCTGGAAACTATGTATTTTTTTCATATTAAATCAACATATATTACACTGGCTTTTCTGGTTACTTGCATCCAAAGAACTGACAAAATTAAGTCACTTAAAAGAGAATTTAATTTTATTGCAGTCTCTTTTTATACTGAATGAAATGCATAAAATTTACAATGTGCCACGGATCATAATGTCTTTTTCAGATACAGATGAAATCAGAATTATTAAACCCTTTTTGAATTATTATTTTTTTTAATTTAAAAATATCTTTTAACAGAACAAGGAAATTTTCGCAGTATGTCTGATATTTTTTCTTCTGGAGAAAGTTTTTGTTTTATTTTGACTAGAATAAAAGCAGTTTTATTTAAATATTATTAAATGGCTTTTAAAGATGAGGAACGAGGAACATTTGGCTTGTTACATGTAAAAAATGCCAAATTGTAATATCTTGAGCTGGACCAGTACATTTTTCTTATGTAATAAGTACTTTAACTGAAATTTATAAAAATCCTGGAAAAGTTAAAGTTTTTTTATTTTAGGGACCGTTACTACTCTGCATTGGCATCAAATAGTAGGAATGACCATTTATTATTATTATTATTATTATTATTATTATTATTTTAATCAGTTATTTTTATAAAGGTTTTTTTCTTTTCTCTTCAACTTTTTAATCTTTAAAAAGTATTGTTGCTTTTTAAACAATTCAAAGTGTCAAACAATTTTAAATGGTTTTAAAATGGCCAATAATTAAAAATCTACAATAGTGTGATCAATGTGAGAATTTCAGTTCAAAATGCACGCAGTTTCACAAATTGCTGTTTTTTTTTCTTTTTCTTTTCTTTTTTCTTTTTTTTCTCCTTAAGTTCAAGTTGGTTTAGAAAATTAGTTCAAGTTTCTTGGGAAACATTTAAGTGAAAGAGCTCTGTGTAGTTTTAAATCATAATGGCTTGTTGTGTCGCAGGTAATGGCTCACCTGTCCTTCTCACTCAGCTGCCACCTCAATGTGGATATACAACACCTACATATGGTGGCCTTGTCTATTCTACTCCCTATGATGGATGTGGTGTTGATCAACAGGTATACTTTTCTCAACTCAACTTCGTGTTAGCACAGAATGAGTACCAACCTGGATGTTTCTCTTGGTTCAGGGCGGGAGTAATGTGATGCGGATGCAGTGGCATGGAAACTCTGCAGTCATTTCTTGTCCTATTGACTCTTCTCCTGATATGTACAGTCCTGAGGTATCCCTGACTGCACCTAAAGAAACATCTCCTCCACCTACACTCAAACCCCAATCTGTTGGATACCCTCAGGCATTTTTGGAATCTTTTTGGCCTTACAACGAGCCTGGTTACCCTTATCCTGGCAAGGTTTATTCCACGGATGAGGAGATTGTCTTGACCACCACAACCAACCCAGATACTACTCCGATGCTAACAGACAAGCCCCAACAACTTTCAGATTCTCAAATGTTTTGGTCGTACTTCTACCCTAATTACAATTATCCTGGGAAGACACTGCCAAAGCCTCAACCTCCACCAACACAGAAGCCTCAAATCTCTCAGATGCGTTGGCCATATTTCTACCCAAATTATGGCAAACCAGTGCTTCCAGAGAAACCAGTTCCAAGGCCAATCCAAACACCACCTGTGAACCCCCAATCCTCAGGGTACCCTCAAGGATTTTGGTCATTTTACTACCCTAAATACCAATCTCCTGGCAGGCCACAGCCAACAGCAAAACCAGTTCCAGCTTCCGTGTCCGATTCTGAATCAGTTGCCCAAGCTCCACCTTTGGACCCTCAGTTGTTTTGGTACCGTCAAGGATTCTGGCCATTTTACTTCCCTCAATACCAATATCCTAGTGGGCCGAAGCCCACAGAGAAACCAGATTGTGTTCCGACCACAACAGTTGCCCCAGTTCCACCGGAGAAGCCTCAACTTCCATGGTACCATCAAGACTTTTGGAAATATTACTATCCTTACTATTATGGTAAGCCAAACCCTGTCAACAAACCAGTCTCATCAGTTGCCCAAACACCAATTCAGTATCCTCAACTGCCAGTATACCCCCAGATCGATTGGTCGTATTACTATAATCGTGGCAAACCGAAGACACCAGTTTCTGCTTCAATTCCCGACACCCCAGCAGTACCCCAACCACCACCCTATAAGCCTCAACCTCAGTACCCCCAGATGTTTTGGCAATATTATCCTAATTTCTTTCAAGAGTTTTATCCGCAATACCCTATCGAGCCTCCCCAAGCCCCTACCGAACCACCACCTACGACCACCCCTCCACCCTGTACTACCGTAGTTGTCAAATGCGAGCCCCCAGAGATCCTTGCTCCCAATTACCCTCCCCAGTACAATGTACAACAACGTCCTATGCTTTATGAAAAAGACCCCTTTTCGCTTCATTTTGTGGATCTGGCTGAGACTGATGCAGATTGAGTCTTTCCCATGATTTTGTAATATGTAATGACTGAGGGCAGATGGAATGGGGTTGCTCAAGTGCTACGCCTGGCTTTGAAAAACAAAAATGCTACGATGTGAATGGAAAATTGCTTGCTTATGTCTCAATTTAATTGTCCAAATTCTCAAACAATTCAATAAATCAAATATGGTCAAAAGTCGTTTTTCTGTTTATTATTTTAATTGTTATTAATATAAATCTCTGGAAGATCCAAGAACCACACGTAGGAGAGACTATGATTCAAGTGTGGAAGATGTAGAGCAAAAACATGGATCTAGTTCACTGCTTTTTTCAGTGGCTGTGTTTCATTGCAAGGCTTTCATTTGTGCTCCTTGCGCGCTCATTCGCACGCTCCCCCCTCCCAGACCTTTTCTGTGTGTGATTCTGGTCTCCAGGGTGTAGCTCAGACACTGCAGTAGAAGCTAGGGCTTGGCTGCTGCACTATACAATGCGCTGAAAGATGGTGCACCAGGAGAAATGTGTTTACCAGGTAAGACCAGCCATTTTGCAGTTTTGTGGCATTGGCGTGCTGTATGTGCAAGTAATAGGTTATGATGTGCGAGTTCAAAGCAAATTGATCATTTTCTGATGAAAGGAACTGTATTTTGAATCAATGTTAAGCTACTGTGTAGGTTTAGCTGAATATCTGATGTTTACTAGAAAAACAATATGCACTGCTTAGGCTAAAATGATGCTGCTCATTTAAAAAAAAAAAAAAAAAAAAAAAAAAGGTCACGTTTGTTTGTGTGTGAGGTATGGGTGTCTGCGTTTGCTTAGCATTATGTGCTAATTTAGTGACAACAATTTTTAAAAAGCAACCAAAAATGACACTTGTGCTAGTTCTCAGAATACTATTTTACAGATATACTAGATTATACTGCAAGTAGTACATCACAGGGAGAGCTGTTTCTCATTTGCCTCTATAATTTAAGTACATCATCAATCAGATGCTCTTCTACACCGTTCATCTATCTATAGCATCAGTCCCAGAGGAACTGCTCTGCACTCAGTATGATAATGCAAAATAAGCCAAGGGGAAAAAAAAAAATGTTAGTTATGGAATTTTACAGTTGCAGGCCTTATGATTATTCTGTAGGTGCCAGACATTTTAAAAGTGCATATGAGTCATTCTGAGCACCAAAAGGCAGCCATGTTGCCATGGCAATAATTTGAGCGGACTACATAGGTTTGAGAATATATATTCATTTCAATATACAGACTATTATGTAGCACAGCAAATGTGTATTCTATCTAGCTATCTACAGTATGTTGATGACGGCCTGTTCTTTCCATCCATCCATTTGTTTATAAAGGGCCTCATCCATCCATCCATCCATCCATGTTTATGAAAGGCATCCTTTCCATCCCTTCATTCCTCCATTTGTTTATGAAAGGCCTTTATCTATCTATCTATCTATCTATCTATCTATCTATCTATCTATCTATCTATCTATCTATCTATCTATCTATCTATCTATCTATCTATCTATCTATCTATCTATCTATCTATCTATCTATCTATCTATCTTGATGAAAGGCCTGTTCTTTCCATCCATCCACCTATCCATCCATTTGTTTATGAAAGGTCTTGTCCATCCATCCATCCATCCACCTATCCATCCATTTGTTTATGAAAGGACTTGTCCATCCATCCATCCATCCATCCATCCATCTATCCACCCATCTGTTTATTAAAGGCCTGTTCTTTCCATCCATCCATTTGTTTACAAAAGGTCTGTTCAGTCCATCCATTTATCCATCCATCTATCGATGTCAGCTTATTTATGAAAGCTATCTATCTATCTATCTATCTATCTATCTATCTATCTATCTATCTATCTATCTATCTATCTATCTATCTATCTATCTATCTATCTATCTATCTTTCCATTCATCCATTCATCTGTTTATGAAAGGCCTGTTCTTTCCATCCATCAATTCATCCATTTGTTTACGAAAGGTCTGTTCCGTTCATCTATCTATGTAACAATCTATTTATGAAAGATCTATCTATCTATCTATCTATCTATCTATCTATCTATCTATCTATCTATCTATCTATCTATCTATCTATCTATCTATCTAGATGAAAGGCCTGTTCTTTTGTATCATCCATCCATTTGTTTATGAAAGGTCTGTTCTGTCCATCCATCCATCTGTTTATGAAAGGTCTGTTCTGTCCATCCACCTATCCGTCCATTTGTTTACAAAAGGTCTGTTCCATCCATCCATCTATCTGTTTATGAAAGGCCTGTTCTTTCCATCCATCCACCCATTCATCTTTTTGTTTACGAAAGGTCTGTTCCATTCATTCATCCATCCATCTATCTATATATCTATCTATTTATGAAAGGCCAGCTCCATCCATCCATCCAATAATTCAAATAAGCTTTATTGGCATTACTTTTCAAGTATTGACAAAAAACTGCAGATTACATAAACAATGAATAAAATAGTGAAGTGATTATACAGTATAATAAGGATAAGTATATACACACAATTAGATATTTGATATATACAAAGACAAATATGATTACTAAAAAAGGTTATGAAAGTAAAATAGTAATATATAATACATATGTCATGTAGATGGTTTGTATTATACATCCTCTCATTTTTCTCTCATTCTTTGTCTCCTTTTTTGTCCAATTATTGACTGTAGTCATTTCCATGCAAGCACACAATCTAAATTTAGATTGTACCTTCCAATCCACACACCCATTATTGCCATCTTTCCTTTTCCACGTTGCTCTTGTAATCCACCAAATTATTTATAATCTTCCTCAAGCTTTAAATAGCCACTGTATGTAGATGTATGAAAGCGGATGAGTGTTTAAAAATGCCATGTCAAACTGCGAGATCCTCTATGGCCTTTTACATGCTGTGTGACTCTGACTGTTCTCCTCATTCAAGTCAACTGTGTTTTCGCTCAGGCCCAGAGGAATGAGAGGGAGTCCATTAGGCAGAAGCTGGCCCTTGGCAGTTTCTATGACGACGGACCGATTACCTTTACTGGCTGTAGCAAGAGCGGCAAAAACTGCCTGTCCTCACGGTCAGTGTGTGCTTCTGTTCAGTGGGTTGGTGGTGTGTCATACAGTACGTAATGTTAGCTATTTTTAGCGTAGAACTGCACTGACTTTGATCGATATAGCTAGCGTTTTAATAAAAGAAATATGACCACTTTTTAAAACCTTTTGGCTGAGAATATTTTTGGCTTTGTCCCATTTGCTTCAAGATGACTAAGCATTATTTGTTACATCATCAAGTTATGAAACAAGCAGCTCTGATTCAATGTTTTCAATCTAAGTAAAGCTTACTTTAATCATTGCATAAAAATTAATCTAATATAATGCTCCTGACACATCCAAATGTTTATAAAGAAGAATTCTCGAATAAATCTGCTTCAGTATTGATTCTTTCAAGTGTTCTAAAAAGAGTATTCCCGGACAAATCTCAGTGTTCACATCTAAAGCTTGTGCATTGCTTTTAGGCCTTAGAAAATATTAAATGTGATAAGATTTACAATTAGAAAAGGTCTTTGCTTTAATTTGCATGGCTACATTCTCTTGCTCTGACAATTGATCATTGTTTTCAACGTAATGCACGGTAAAACCCAAAAAGTAAGGGAACCGTTTAAGGAAACCAATTGCAACAAACTATTTGAGTTAAAAAACTAATCCATATGTGTACTGTGAACTTAATTTAAGTTGAAGTAATGAGGTATTTAATTGACTCATTACCTTTAACACTATATATATAGTATATGTATAGTACACTATATATAGAGTTCAAAACTCTTTTCAAATGAGTAACTACACTCATTTCGTTTGATAAAGTTTACAGTTTTACAGTGTAGAAAAATGACTCTTTAATGAAAGAGGACTTCTGTGTTTATTTTCTGTTGGGTAACCCATATGGGGTTAATTAGAAATGATTGGGCAGATATAGCAGCTAAGAAAGTGCTTTAGTTTGAAGGAGCAGAATGTAAAATTCCTGTGTCTAATTTTCAAACCTGCTTTGAATCTGTACATTTGTGAAATGACAAATGGGATAAAGATTAATGAAAAGAAATAACTGTTTATATATGTATATATATATATAT